AACGACTTAATTTGCCTGAATCATAACTGCTGGTTGATTCTCCACAGTTCCAATTTAGTTTACCATGTATATGTTGGAGATGAGGCCTTTGCGCTAAGAACTCACATGATGAGACCATATCCTCGAAGCAGTAGTTTAAGTCGAAGAAAGAAAATATTTAATTATAAGCAAAGTCGAGCTTTCGATTAATTTAAAGTGCATTGGTGTTTTCAGCGGACGATGGAGAATTTTTTTTATGTGGCCTATAAATGCATCAGTTTCTTCTGCTATAAAAATTACACAAGCTACCACTTGCTTACACAATTTTATTATGAAACTTGAATTGAATATAGTAATTCTTTGGTAGATTGCTTAGCGGAAGAGTCTGGTGCATTAATGGATCTTGGAAGAAATCCATCCAATATTAGAGACAAATTTGCAGAGTATTTTGAAGGAATTGGAGAGTCCATTGACAATGGGAAAAAATTCTACAAAATGACTTTTAAAAGATATTTAGCATTGTCTACATATTTCTTGATAAAATTTCAACATTTTGTTCCATATTACTAACTCGACATTTCTATTTCTACGTCACTGACTATTCTGTTTATTTTTCTTACATTTTCCTGCCAAGTAATTTTATATCTACGTTTTTTTTTAAATAAAATGTTTCTCCTTTTCATAAGAAAGAATGAAGATATCTCGCAAAACAAGTTATCTATAACGTCAACACTTAACCAAGTACTGTAACAAAAGCAGGGACGCGTTGTATTTTATTTGTTAGTTCTCGGAACGGAGGGGCCAAAAAGTAAAATATTTGAGTCAACACTAATTTATCGGAATGTGAATGGCTCTCAAGTAGGTATGGCGTTATCCTTCGGGGAAATTTAGCAATATTTTTAACAAGTTTACTTAGAGTCGGGGCCATGTGACAGTCATCTGTTGCGTCTGGGAGGCGCCAGCGTAGAAACTCATATTTTTAATAACGCGCGAAATCACGAAAAGAGCGAAGAGGTTCCAAAGTAGAATTAAATCAAATTGTTAAATTGATAGTAATTGGAAAAGAAAGTAACAGATCAAGTAGCTGGTTTTTTGACGGATTTTCCAAGCTATAAGAGTAGATTAAATGAGATCGACTAATCCGTCCCGTATTTGCTACACGGAGTCGCTAGAGGAAGGCTAGGGTTTACTTGTAGGTCACATAATTATTTATATAAATGCAAATTCAGTCCATTAAACAATTATTAACATGGCATAGTTATGCCAAAACATCCCGACATTCAGGGTTCCCGTTCAGTAAGATAAGAACAGAAACTTCTGGACCCAAGAAATGAGCGTGTCGAAGCGAAGTGTCGAATTCGGGAAAGATCTCGAAAAAGTCGGTTCATCCTTATGTTGCGCAGCCGACTTAGTTTTAGAGTCTCGGGCTAGTTAATTAAATTTAATAATGGATAAAGTTTTTTCAAATTTTGCTATGGCGCGCACTCCCTGAATCCCGGTACGCTGTCACGTGTAAATAAATTAATTAATAATGTTGTTCGAGCCGTCGTTTTATTTTGTTTGTTTATTTTATTTATTGTTATTAAAACTCTTCCTGGAAGTTTTGGTGTTTCTTTTTGTTTCTCTCAACTTCAGTGTCACCCTTTATAGCCAGCCACTGGATTACGTTCTACATAAGCAACAGAGGGTAAGTGCATGAAATTCATTCTCTGAACATACAACATTTCCCACGTCTTAATTAAAGTATAATCATAATTATAAACTCTCTTTCGATAATTAAATAGTAAACTCTTGTGAAATCCAGACTCGTTACAATACTGGTCATAATATATAATTAATTAAAGGTAGATCATTAAAGAAAAAACCCCTCAGGTTACAGTACTTACAGCAATATATACATTTTGCAACATAAAGAATATTTTTTCTAATACATAATCTAATTATTTTTGTGATCAATATCTCACAAGCCAAAATAATTAATATTAAGTTCTACTATGCATCAAAGTTACACTGTCCCGTACTACTTCGGCACACTGTCCCGCACTTGGTACCCCACTCCACTACCACCATTATCACTCATGCGTGTCACAACATAAGTCCAACATTGCTGCCCATAGCCCATATTGAACAGTCGCTACTGCAAATATTTAAAAATATAATATATCGAATACTAATGTTATGTTTAAGAAATATGACTTGAGATGCTTTTTCGCATTTTAGTTTGCTGCGTTCTTCATGGTAAGTCTAGTTTTTGAAAATATCCGTTCACACATAACCTTCGCATTAATTTGTAAAGACGGTGATATAATAGTTTTCTTTCCTTCCACTAACGCAGTGGATCGTATGTTCTTCTAATCAACTGTTCATTAAGACATTTATCTACTTCAACAATGCTTGCAGCTGTGGGATTGCGAGCAGTCAAAACGTCCTTGATGTTTTCATCGAAATCATCCCAGGTAGAGGATTTGGTTTGCTTACCATCCTCTAGATTGGCCAAACTTGCTGTTGGATCTAGATTGATTCATCAAAATGGAATGCAGAAATTTTGGATTTGATGTTTTGTAACGTGCCATATTTTTTAAGATGGGGGTTAAGGAAAGTAGCCTGAAAGTTAAATCAATTAACTCTATTTCTTTAAACCTTTCTTTGATCTCAGATTGTAATTTTGTCAGGAGATTAGTAACTTCTTGAGGATTTTATTGATCACTTGAAAATTTTCTCTACTGCTTCTTCATTAAGTTCACGAACATTTTAGATGTTTAGATACTGGTTAGGCACGATTAGAATACAAGGATACCTTTGAGAGGCTCTAAGGCTCGGTTGTACAAGTGCTCACTAAGTATAGGTTCAGTTGAGCCCAAGTTCATCTTGAGCTCTGTGGTTTTGCCACTTTCGGTTGTACAATATTGTTATGAATATGTGTAGCAATGATGCTAGGCTGAGTGGACTGTACTTGTTTATTTATATTTAAATACTCTTACAAACAATGCGGCAAGTGATGCCTATTAATATAAAAATGAATGAGAACAGGTTATGATCACTGCAACAGTTGAAAGAAGACTAAATTTGGTCACACCGCACTCCCTCCTCTTCCTCACCATTGCTCGGTCTTGCCAACCTTCAAGCGCGAAAATACAAACTCTTGGATAGTTCTACCAAATATGATTTGAGGAAGGTTCAGGAGAACTTGTAGTAGCGAATGTTGGCAATACTGGAGCATCTCGCAGGTTATTTAACCGATGATGAAGAATTTTTGGAGTTGATAAATGTTATTCAACCTCCGAGAAGACCTCAACAGTTTAGAAACAGGCCAAATCAATTCGAAGTATGGAATGATGGAGCGTTTATTAGAAGATTTAGGTTATCTAAACAATCTGTCCGATTTATTATAAACCAGATACGTGATCAAATCTCTTCACCCACGCACCAGTAAGTATTTGAAAGTCTTCTTTAAATTGTAACAGTTTAATTTATGTAAATTTATAGAGCAAACTACACTTAATTTTGGATAGGGAATACATTCCTGCATTTTCCAAATTTAAAGTGAAAACACCCTGTATATATTTTGACTTTCAGAAATCATGCTTTATCGGCAGAAGAAAAAGTTTTCATAAGCTTGCGGTATTTGGCCACAGGCAGTTTTCTGCAAGTTGTTGGTGACTTTATGGGGGTCGACAAAGGTACTGCTAGTAGGAGTGTTTCAATAGTGATTCGTGCAATTGCTGGACTCCATCGGGAGTTTATTAAAATGCCTCGTACTACTGAAGAAATGAACTTTGTAAGCCAGCAGTTTTATGAAATAGGTAGGTTTCCCCGATGTATTGGAGCGTTAGATTGCACACATGTTAAAATTGCCTGTCCAGGAGGCGAAGCCGCAGAAATATACAGAAACTGAAAAGAATGGTTCTCTTTTAATGTGCAAGCGATTTTTGATGCAAGTGGAAAATTACAAAATGTTGTGTGTCGCTGGCCAGGGTGCAGCCATGACTCGACAATATTTAATAATTCTACTATAAGGGCAAGATTTGAACAAGGTGATTTTGAAGATAAGGTACTAGTGGGTGATAGTGGTTATGCCATTCGAAGGTACCTTATTACGCCATTAAGAAATCCAGCTTCTCCAGCAGAAAATCTGTTTAACGAATCTCAAATAAGAACAAGACACCCAATTGAAAGGTGTTTTGGTGTTTGGAAAAGAAGATTCCCAGTTTTAGCATATGGTATCAGGTTAAAGAAAGAAAAAGTTGAAGCCGTAGGAATTGCTACAGAAAGATTGCACAACATTGCTTGTCTCATGAACGATCCTATGCCACCAGTAAATGAAGGAGGTGATGTCAGAAATCTCAACAATTTTGTTAGACAGCAATTGATTGTTGAATATTTTAGTAGGTTATAAACTTGTATAATAAATAAATATCTTTTAAAAATATGCTATTTTAATATGATACTGGTGCGATTCATTATACTGTGTAAAACTGAAACGGTTTTGCAACGTTTTTGAAGTACGTCAACAAAAAATAAAACTACATATCAATTTTAAATTATTGCATCCTGTGATTACCCTTTCTTATCTTATAAGTTATCAAAAACTAGGTTAATTTCTGTTAGTTAGTTACTCACTCGAGTTCATGTGGGCAAAATTAAAAATATTCCAGACGGTAAGTACTAGGTAGGTATTAAAAAACTCATTAATTTAAAAACTATACATTGCCAAAACTCACATACCTACACTACAATACAAAAATAATAGGTTTTACTTTTTTACATTTTTCATTAAATTTGCTCTTTGTAGTTCAAAATTTTCCATTTTATTCTTATGCTCAGCCCGTTGCATTTCGAGTCGGGCATCATTTTCTTTTCTTAGAATTTCTAGTTCTACCTCGTGCTTCTCTCGCATTAATTGCAATTTGAACTTATGCTCTTCTCTATAAAATTCTTTTTTATTTTCCTCCAATGCATTTTTTGCATCAGCCCAATGATTTACCCTAGACATTAGGGCCTCCTCCGCTCTGTGGGCCCTGGAAGCTGTACAAATAAAATTAATTGATGGTATAATGTAAAAGAAAATACAACAAAAATTTACGCATTTTTTACATTCAAGGCTGCAGATTTCGGTGTTTGTAACATTTGCTTGGTATATTTACCCCAATTTTGCAGTTGCGGGCTATCAACACCTACAGAAAATATGCAATTAGTTCTTACATTCACGTTCATTCCCTGGTACAACATTACTTGGCTCTTCATTTAACATTTCTGTATCTGCATAAGAAATTTCTACAGACACTTCTGTCACATCTGTCTCATCGTGTATAAAATCGTCTAAAAAAACATTGATATTATTTTGTCGATCCCCTTTAAAAAAACACTATTCCTACCATCGTCTGTCTGTAGAACTAACAATTCTGTATCATCTGGATGTTCTTCTTGTACAACTGCTACAATGAAGTAAGTAATTAAAACACGTCTATTTCACTAATTTATTTTAACACATACCATCACCATCAAATTCCGATGTTTCACCCTCTGCACGACTTCCCAATAATTCTTTGACTTCTTGGTCGATGTCATCTATTTGAACTACTTTCATGGGTCCACCTCCAGTACCCAACTTATAGCACCGATCGTCAGCCAACTTCTTTTTTGTTCGTTTCTTCAAGTTCTCATATTTTTTTTCAGAACTTTATGGTCCCTGCATGTTGTACCACTCTGATTATTGAATTCATTAGCAACTTTAACCCAGCATTGTGCTTTTTGTGTATTTGTAACAGCATTAGATTTAATATTTTCAATTATATGCTGGTTGCTTTTTACAAGACTGATCAAAAGACTTTCTTCCCTATGTGTAAAATTTGGAACACGTTTTGTTTGAGGATGCATTTTCTACAAATGTTTAAAATTAGTGTACTATTTAATATGATTTTAATTCCCTACTTTTCAAACCGTACTTACCAAAAATCAAATAAAAGAGTTAAATTAAAACTACGTGCAATTTCCAAAGTTTGTAACACGTAACACACCTTCACTATTGGGTACTCTGTGCCTTCACATAAATTAATATCTAAATAAGTTTCACCAGGTTCACCGGTGAACTATCCCTTGAGCTACAATTGTACAACCGAGCCTAACAAATGCTCAAGTTCAAACAGATTGTTAATAGAAGTAAATCGAATAATTCGTACATAAAATTGCCGGTTATATCTATGCTATCGTTTAACAGGGACTATCGGAGTAGCCAAGTCAAAGTAACAAATCCAAAAATTAGTGACGCTGAAAAGTTTTTAACGTAGAGATGCAGCATATTAGAAACGTTAGTAACGGCAATTAATCCTGCCAAATATCTAATAAAAAAACCGTTTGAGCAACGTTTCCTTGCGTCTACTTCAACTCAAGTTCAGCAGTGCACATTTTGTAGGGGTTTACATTTTATATACCACTGGAGAGAATTTTAAGGTTACAAATAAAAGTCAGCCTCCATTTCGACTATTCCTGAAAAGGTAGATTCCGATGATCGCCTTACAGACCTGCGTTCGTCTGACATCACTAATTTCTATTTGGACTTCTAGAAGAGTGTTCACGATCTGTTTCCCAAGTCATCAAGATAAGCACTATTTGAGTTCAAATTAGGATTTCAACTGACTCTAGAGTTCTAACAGAGGGTTTCGTCTTATACTTCGAGTTCTATGACTCTATAATCTCCGAGTGTGGCTAGCATTAGTTTTTTTTATTTAAAATCTAAATCTTCGTCAAATCTTGTAAGTTGAAATTGGGTAAAATCCAATGACGTCCAATAAAGAAGTGGGATGGAGTGTGAGGCTCAAGATCATTGGGTTCATTTGTCATTGCGAATAAGAGTCTTGAGTTCAATGTACTCTCTATTTGACACAATGATTTGGTAAGTTCCTCATAAGTGAGAATTGAGTCAAGCAACGTTCTTTTCAAATGGTGCTTCATACTTTTCACCGCTGCCTCCCATAAACCACCGAAGTTTGGTCCATATGGAGGTGTAAAGTGCCATGTGGTATTAAGATTAGTTGCAGAAGTTTGAACATGAGGTTCAATTTTATGGAGAAATCGTCCCAAAGTTTGTAATTCATTATAAGCACCGAGAAATGTTAAACTGTTGTCGGAATAGATGCGAGACTGTAAACCTAGTCTTGATATAAACCTTTTTAGACATGATATAAAACATTCTGATGTCATATCTGTAATTAATTCTAAATATACAAATACCAAGATTCAACATTTAGAAATTTTGCAGCCGCGCCACTTTCTGTCTTCTATTGAAAACGGACCAGCGTAGTCGATACCAAAATTTGAAATGATAGTGCTTGAGTTAATCTGTTATCAGGCAATGATTCCATTGGAACTGAAGACGCAATTGTCTTTCAGTATATTTTGCAATCTTCCACTGTGTTTTTCTAACTTATAATCTATTATGACTTTCGGTAACTTTTTTGCATTTTTGTTTCTATTTTTCTCTACCATTTCAGCGTCATCCCTTGTAGACAACATAAGTACATCTCTTTGGTCTTTCCACTTTAGTGCTGTTATTCCATTTTTGTCCTCCAAAATAGAAAAAAAAAAACTGTCAGATACATACCACTTATTACACCCAAGCCTTCACTTCTTTATTTTGTACATATTTGATTAATGCATGTAATGACGAATCTATTTCATCGATTGTTAGAGGACCACGTATACCAACTTCATTGCATTTACGTCTTTTTAAATTAATAAAAAATCGAAATCAATATGCAGTGACTTGCAATAATTTGTTTAAGCTCGAAAAGTTATTAACAAGTTCAAAATAATTGTTTTTAGAAGTTGTCATCAAAAAAAATATGTTTTTTACGTAGTTCGGGTTAGATCCTCATCATATTATTTGTAAATTACGCTGATCTTCGCGAACTAATACCTGAAGATACATTTTTTCAATGTCACCAGTGAGTATAATGTCATGTTTTCTCGATGTGACTAGAATTGAGAATAAGTTCTCTTGGTCCGTAGGACCTACCACAAGAATATCATTTAAGGAATAATTTGAGGTTGTTTTAGCGGTCATCAAATACAACTCTAAAATTTGTTTTTTTTTTTAGAATGCGGTAAGAAAAATGATTCTTTTAAATTAATTGAATTTAGTTCGGTTTTAGTCATGTGATTTAAATTTAGATATCCATCAAGAAATTTAGAGTATTCATTAAAAAATTTAGAATTTTTTAGGTCTTTTGTCTAATAATAAAAATCCCTGAGTTGCTATTTGTAACAAATCTCCTAAAATGTCTGGAGAATATCTTAGGGGAAGTGTGTCTATGAACCTACCACTGTGATCGCGGGTTGTATTGTTTTTGAATGAGTCCTCACAAGCTTGTTCTTCATGTGATAAGGGTTTTTCTAAATTAGTTTCTTCAATTTTCGAAAATCGGGTTAATTGAGATTCAAGAGTAGCAGTTTGTCTAAAGTTGCAGAAAATTTCTGCAGGAGAATTTTGTAAATATTTTATTAGACAAATCTCGACTGAAATTATTCATCCCATGTGACTTTTCTAGAGTATTGGTAAGTTTTTCCCAAATTTAATTTGACCTATTGTTGAGTATTGATTGCCTTTGTTAACTTTTATATTAGTGGACTGTATTTAAATTGAAATAAAACGGGTCGTGCGATACATCCAGCATCTATTTCGTTATAGCATACAAAACCCCTTTACATACATGGACTACTGAATGCCGACTGGCAACCCAAGATGCGCCTTCCTTCAGTGAAGGGCCTCCCCACTACTTGATTTATACAGGGTGGTCCTGAGGTAATGGGCCAAAATTCGTGGGTAGATTCCCCAAGTAAACATATTGCGATTTAGCCGAACTTACCTTAGTCCAAAAGTTGATAGTTAAAGAGATACAGGGTGTTAAATGTGAAATATTATTTCAGTTTTTTTTAATTTATTCCTTAACAAATGCAAATATCCTCACAGAATTTTGGGGACTGGAGTTCTTTGAGTAGAGGAATTGAAATCTCTTCACATTTTGGTTAAAGTTCATAGAGGGCGCTAGTTGTAGTAGATTGAATGTGTTAAAAACGATATAACTTTTGTGTACTTTAAGGTATCTCATCTTTGGTAAGAAATTCTTATTTTTCAACTTTTTTTACACAAAAAAGGTATACCTTATTAAAGTAGCTATCTCGCACCGTTTTCGAGATATTTGGCTTTGAAACTTCCAATGCTGTTGCATTAAATTATAATTAAGTATCTACAGGTGTTATTAACTTAGCGATAAAGTTTCTTAAGTAGGATTTGGACGAAAATCAAATAATTGACGTCTTCCACTTGTATTATTGCTGTCATTTGTATGTTAATTTCTATTAAGTATTATTCGTATCTAATTAAAATTACATCTTAGTTTACAAATTAAATTGTATACTCGTATACATAAATGTGA